ACCGAGAAAGATGAATTTTCCAATATATGCAGTAATGCCGACTATATGCTTAAAGAGCCATTTCATCCAAAGTGCTGAAACCGAAAAGATGAATAGACAGATGTTACGTTTTGCTCAACGAACTGAACCAACTTGTTCGTCAGTTTAACAAGCGTGTACGGCAACAAATATAAAAGTTTTGCACGTCGTTGCTTGCATTACACTGAAATAGGTGAACTTGATCAGTTTAAATCTTACATGTACAATGACAGATAATCTTCAAGCATACTGACCTAACGACATATCAAGCTTGTTAAGTGCTTTCGTCATCGTGGATACGGTTAAGGTTCAAACCTATTCGACACCACGAAACTAGACGACACTTTAACTACAAACAATGCAAATCGTAAAAATATTGATTTTCAGGTACGACTGTGCAATGGTATATGAAAATATTTAATCGGAATTTTCAATGAAAACTTCATCCAATCAAATTTAATAAACTCCGTTTACAAAACTCCGCCTACTGCCGGCTCTCCAACAAACTGACGGCGCTGCTGCGCGTCGGGACTTGCTGGGCGAAGTGGGTGTAAATAGACCGTTTCGCACAATAGAATGTATTACTTTAACTGCAATAATTTCTCATTGTAATATTTTTCAGATTTGTCATATGTACATATTAGTTTCATTCAGTCCGTTGACCATCGTTTTTCTGTCTGTTACCGTTATCATGTAGCATAATGCATCGGTCCTTTTTCTTACAACGTGACGACGCTACGGCGTGATAGTGGCCTTCAGCGACGTGCAAAGAGTGGCATAGAGTGAACCAAGAGGGGAAATGTTGGATTGACGGAGGCACTTTCGTAGGATGGCGTGAATTGCTATTGCTGTAGTAAATTTATCTTGTGATATATTAATATTCTCTTAATTCAGGCGGTGGTTCACTGTTGTTCTTGCGTCTGTTATGATTCTATATATGATAATAATTCTTTATATCAGTCAGTTGTAAAATTGTATGTATTTATATGGTTGTAAAATCGCATGAAAAATCCTTGTTTTCGTTCATTTTTTGAGCACCTATTTCCGGTCGCCGCTTAAAGTATCGGCCAGTCAACTCCATACTCACACATACGCTTTTGTTGTTACGCTCTTTCTTGGCCAAAACTTCTAATCGTTGCGCTAATTTTGCTGCATTACTGCTCGAGACGCTTAACCCTTTTGGTTTAAGTTGTAACACTTTCGATCAGTTGCACCAGTGAGACCAGTTCGCGGCCGAAAAGAGCTGCGGCTTTCTCAGAGTCGTAGCAGTAGGACTGATCATCTCTTGATCTTAGTTCGAGCTAGTTAATTCTGCTAATTGAACCATTAGTCAGAGATATAACACATTAAAAACTGCAGTTCAAAAATCGATATTCGTTGAAAGTTACTGTCGAAGACGCATCATTTATTGTAAAATTACTACGGCGGCTATCAAAACGTCATATGATTCCTCTGAATGGGGAGATAATTGCATATGTCACTATTTAATCCTTTGCCGCAAAGAAAAGTAAAACCCGAGCGTCCATGCTAGTATTAGCCAATCACAAATAGCGGCATGTAGATTGTTCAGTTAAGTTCACGTCACCTTTGACGATCCGCTTGAATGCCCGTGCTGGGGCTTTAATCCAGTCTGCAGTAAAATTATAAGGGTGTTATTCTTGACGTTAAGTAGTTTATTGTTGTAGGTACTGTGCGCTGTTTCATGATCATTTGATTCGTGATAAGATATTCGCCATGCGCCAAATTGTTGAGAAATCGTGGGAATTCGCCCATCCTGTGTACGTGTGCTTTGTTCACCTAGAGAAAGCCTATGGTCGGATCCTGCACAACAGTCTGTGGGCATGCCTGCGAACATATGGGATCAATGGCCAGTTGCTACAGACCATCCAATAACTGTTAAATCTAGACTTTTCAGCGTCGGCACTGCTCCTTGCCAAGAGTTTTGTCCCCTCTCCTGTTTGTGTTGTGCATGGATAGAATAGTCAGGCGCAGCTAAGGCGATGAATGCATCGATGCCCTCAAATGGAATCAACCTTGGCACTTCCATATTCAAAGTAGACCTTTTGATCAGAACAGGTTACGAACTTCGCTTAGTGATAGACGATTCACGGCATCAGTTGATTTCAACATGAACAGTCAACGTAAAGAGAATGCAAATAAGATTAAGTAAGACGGAAAACAACCTACAGCGAGCATGAAAATGGTCGAAAGCCCTAATAGGATAGTGGCCATATCAATGACAAAGAATGAAAGAAAACAAGCACAGAACAATGGGAAACCAACCTAGAGATGGAACACAGCCGAAAATATGTTAAGAACGATCAAAAACCCGAAATGAACGCGATAGTGGACTACTAATCGCGAAAAAAATTGGAGTTAAATGTGCTAAAGGTCATAAGCCCCAGATTTGAGAGTCAATTATGACGGAAATTTACTAACCGATTTGCATGCCGCTGTTTTTGATTGGATGAGATTATCATTGACGTATTCAAATATTACCTTTATTTTGCAAATATTTTCTGAAAATTTTTCAGTGTGATCACGAAATATTGAATTACTTTCATTCAAAGGCGTAAAATGCAATCATTATGATGTTAATTGGTTGTCATAGGTCGCTATGAACCTTAGTTGCGGGAGTTTAGATTTCACTGATGTACCGTGGATTTAACTGCGAATTACTCCTTATGATCGCATTAGGGCAGTTGTATCTGTTTTAATGAATCAGCAATAGTTCTGTAGATTCACTCACTAGGACTTTACGCGTCAAAGGATAATAGAAAAATGTTTGGTTAGCATCGAAAATGCCCTGTTGTTTTCGCCGTATTAAAATTTTATTTGTCGCCAGTCCCTTAGTATTGGCGGTTGGTTTGGAGTTGAACATTGTCTAATTCTTAGTTTCGAATGTAGCTGCAGTTCCCTATTGGATGGATTTCGAAGTACCGATTTGTTCACGTTTCGCTAAATCTCGTGAAAAGGCAAATGCGTTGAGTCTGACGCATATTTTAGGGTATTATTTTTCGTCGATTAGTAGTTTTATCGGTGTTTCTGACAGTTTTAACCGTACTTGTTTCTAATCAGTTTTGTTGTTTTTGTTTTCTGTTTTAAAACGGCGTTGAATATGCACAGTGTTCCAGCTATTAAATGGGCCGATTTCAATTGGCTGTTTCTTAGGATACAGAAATGAGTGAAATGTTTATTATTGGGTTGCAACTTAACGCAGGGAAAATTTAGTAGCTGTATCGAACATGACGAGTCGTCTCAAAATAGAAGTGCTGTAATGGCGAACAGATGACAAGTGTCGCTTACTTTCGCTTCATAATATATGCCATGGTAACGTTAAATGACCACGTTAACCGAACTGCAGGGAAGCTTTCTATCATATAAATTTACGTGCATACCTTGTTCTGATTTTTAGTCATCTGTCAGGTAGGTCAAGAGGAGTTGCAGCCGTATAGCGCACACATCAGAGAACATGGTCTCGGACGCTTTGATATGACCACATCAAAGCAACATACTGTTTGTGTTATTCGCTAATCATCTACCTGTTGCCCATTTTACGGCTGGTTGCCCCGAAGCAGGATTGGGTGAATTCCTTGCTCAAGGAAATTGGCAGTTAATAAGGAAAAATTTGCACAGCATTTGGTTTTAAGCCGTCACTCTAGCGTGCAAAGCAACGTACTAACCCATGGCGCCACTGTCCCCCATGCCAATCAAAGCCGCTATCACTAATCAGTAACCCCCGTTATATCAATTAAAGTTTATTCGCTTACGCAGCTAGAGCTGCTATCAGCACGTATGGCTGCATTCTATGTCAGGGGTTTCGGACCAAGTCCGTTGGAGGTTTAAGCGAGGCTGCATTGTCTTGGTGACTACCTAAGCTGGCTGCTCCATTATGTTTCAGGACATTAATGTCAGTCAATTTACTATTTTACGCCATTGTATTAGGTTACTTGCACGTACATATGCAGATTCCGTTTTTAAG